TTTTTAGGCTTTGATTAACGCTTTTACTATAAAGCTAGTACTGTGTTACTATAACTCTAACTAGTTACTGCATGTAGAAACTGACGCTTTTAATTACATATTGGCTAGGATAATTTCCTAGCAATTTGATAACAGCTAGCATTTTATTGCCTACTACTTCTAGAAGTTCTCTAGGGCTAAGGTAAACTACCTAGTCTATAACAAGGAGCTAATAGCGATAGTTATAAGCTTTTGGCACTAGAAGCACTACTTTGAAAGCGCTATAGAAGTCTAGGTTTACTTAGACTACAAGAACCTTAAGTAGTTTATAGATTAGACTTAACTTAATAAGCGTCAGGCTTGCTAGTTAATTTAGCTAGTGCCATACAATTTCTAGATTTTCTACTAGAAAGGTATGTTAAACCTAGCAGACAAGCCTTTACGCAGACTTGACTATGTTAGCAAAGACTACCCTATTGACAATACACTAGTTACCTAGCTGTTACCCTTGCTATGCGCAAAGCTAGTGGAACCCACTAGTATAGTAGAAGCGCAGCTAGGCTTCTAGGCAGCTGCTAAGCTATAGCTAGGCCTTTAGGCAGCTAAAGTGCAGCTAGGCTTCTAGGCAGCTGCTGATTAAAATAGGTGTAGGCTAGCTCTAACTTATGCTTTCTCTAGGCCTAACCTAGTAGAGGCTAGAGTTTGCTTTTTGCAGGACAAGATAGCCTAGACTGCTAGTAAGGCTAAGGAAAAAGACTAAGGTTTACAAGGTCAAGAATTACTGTTATGCACTAGTAACTTTGCTACTAGCTATAAGCAGGCTTGCAAGACGTTGCCTTTGCTAAATTGCAACAAAGTAGTTGCATGCAAACTCTACACGCAAGTTATTACTAGATAGCAAGCTGCTAAGGCAACCTAGGGTTTTGAATTACTTGACAAGGAAGCTAAGGCTTTGTTACTAATTAGACTTGTTATAGAGGCTTAGAAAGCTGACTCTTACTGCTAGAAGGTTTAGGCAGGCTTTTTTGAAAGTCCTTGCTCTAGTAGGGTTAATATAAGAGGCATGACTGCGCAAGGTTTTATTTAGTCTCTTGACTATGCAGACAGTAGCCTCCTATTGCACTATTAGGGTAAGATTTATATCCTAGCGCAAGAATTGCTGTAGCAAGAGCTTTTCTAGCGCTTTCATGACTGCCCTATGGCAGGTTACTAGAGTGCAGACTAAACTAGAGAGCTAATCTAGAGGCACTTTAATTGGAAGAGCCTTGGGGCAGAAGTCTAAGGGTATGTTAGTAGCTACTAGCCTTGCCAAAGCAAGGCAATTCACTGGCACTGCCTTTATAGAAAGCTGCAAGCGTTGACTTTGCAGGATAACACGCGCCTCTTCTAGCATATATTGTTAGATTGGATCACAGGGCTTCTAGAGTCTTAGAAGAAAAGTACTAGCAAGTGGTATAATAGTATCTTTACTATTGTAGACTGCTTTACAAAGTTAGTCTGCCTTATACTAACTTGTAGTAACATGTTTGTAGTAGACTTTGCAAAGCTATTTTTCAAGCATATCAAATTACAGTACAGTATGCTTTTAAGCGTAGTAAGTGACTAGGACTCTTAGATTACAGCTTAATTTTGGCAGAAAGTTTGCATGCAAATCTTAATCAAAAGGCAGCTTTCTATAGCCTACCACCTGCAGACTAACAAGCAGTTAGAGGCTTTTAATTAAGTGGTAGAAGACTACTTGAGAGCCTATATAGCAGACAACTAGGCAAATTGGGTAAACCTCTTTTTGCTAGCGCAGTTTGCTTACAATAACAGTTAGAGCTATGTGATAGGAAAATTACTAAATTACCTGTTATATAGCTTTAATTGCAAAGTTAGGTTTTACGCTGCAGACAGTGTGGTTTTAGGAGGGAATTACTTAACTGATTAGACTACTAACAGCATGCTTTTGTTAGCATTTGCTAGTGCTGTACTAGGCAGGAAGCGTCTAAGGAAATGCCTGCCAATGCCTAGGGTTTAAGCTTGACTGTAGAAGTTGGAAGCTTTTAAGGACAACTTATAGGTTAAGTTGGCGCAGGCTGCTAAGCATATAGCTAAGTATTACAACTATACTCACACACCTAAGCAGTTTAAGGTCAACGATTTGGTCAAGTTATTAACTAAGAACCTACAGTTGAAGACTCTAAAGCTTAGCCTGCGATAGATTAGGCTTTTCTAGGTGATTGAATAGGTAGACAGTTAGGCATACCAACTTGCATTGTCTAATAAATACAGCTATCTCTATAATGTCTTTCTAATCTAGCTACTGGAAGACTATTGCCCTTGCCCTAGCGTAGGTCTATTACCTTTCCTAGACCTTGACAACCTTGAGAAAGAATAGGAAGTCAAAGAAATCTGCAACAACGCTGAATTTGACAGCGTGAAGCACTATCTTGTCAAGTAGGCAAATTAGCTGTCAGAATATAACACCTAGGAACTGCTAGAGCATTTAGAAAATGCTCTAAAAGCAGTCTGCGCATACAAAAGGGCTTGCGGAAAGAAGAGGCCTGCGCTTATAAAGGCTGGCAACGATAGTGATAGCAACGATGGTAGTGGCAAGGACTTTGTAAAGTCCTTACCAGTCTCTTAGGTCTCAGCCTGCAAGGCCTTAACGGTGGGCAAGTAGATTAGACAGTCAAAAAGGGTTTGAAAGTGAGGTTTCTGCCAAGTCAGTTACTTTTTTTCCTTACCTAGCCAAAAAAGAGGTTGCGGAAGGTTTTTTAACAAGGATTTGGCGCTAGCTAGTTAGGCAGAAGGCGCCTACCTACTGGCAAGTAATTAGGTAAGGCGCAGAGGGTGCTAAGGATGTAGACGTTCTTTTAGAGGAAGGATAGTTGTTACGCCTTGAAGGCCTAGGTTAATATTGCCCTAGCCCTTACGCGCGGGGCTTGGGAAAGCCTAGTGGCTAAGGTGGCTTGGTTTGCTATATAAAGTGGCTTTGAGTGATTAGCGCAAGCGCAGCCTTTAATTGGAAGGCCTTGTAATTAGTATGGTCTTACCTTGCGGGGTAAGAAGGTCTAGCTGGCCTAGTCGATGGTTTTACAAGGTCTCTGCAGGAGGCTTGCGTAGGGACTGCTAGGCAGCCCTGAGTTAAAGACTGTGATGGACTTGCCTAAAGGTTTACAAGGGCAGGCTTTAATATACGTTCTAGCCAAGAAGCTACTCAAGACAGTTTCCTACCTAATTTACTAGCGATACTGTCGCAACTGCTTTCTCTTTTGGAACTTATGCTAATTAGCTACCTTGTATAAGTTAGTCAGACTAATTACCCCTATGCCTCTGTCCTGCTGCTAACCTAAGTCTTGCGACTCGTTACATTAGGGACAACCTATAGGTTAAGTTGGCGCAGGCTGCTAAGCGTATAGCTAAGTATTACGACTATACTTACATGCCTAAGCAGTTTAAGGTTAACGATTTAGTCAAGTTATTAACCAAGAACCTATAGTTGAAGACTCTAAAGCTTAGCCTGCGTTAGATTGGGCTTTTCTAGGTGATTGAATAGGTAGGTGGTTAGGCATACTGACTTGCATTGTCTGATAAATACAGCTGCCTCTACAATGTCTTTCTAATCTAGCTACTGGAAGACTACTGCCCTTGCTTTAGCAAGAGTCTACTACCTTTTCTAGACCTTGACGACCTTGAGGAAGAATAAGAGGTTGAAGAAATCTGCGACAATGCTAAATTTGACAGCGTAAAGCACTACCTTGTCAAGTAGGCAAATTAGCTGTTAGAATATAACATCTGGGAACTGCTAGAGCATCTAGAAAATGCCTTGAAAGCAGTCTGCGTGTATGAAAAGGCTTGCGGAAAGAAGAGGCTTGCGCTTACGAAGGCTGGGAATGATGGCGATAGCAACGATGGTGGTGGCAAGGACTTTGTGAGGTCTTTACTGGACCCCTGGGCTCTGGCTTGCAAGGCCTTGACGGTGGGCAAGCAGATTAGACGGTCGAAAAGGGTCTGGAAGTGAGGTTCTTGCCAAGTCAGTTACTCTTTTTCCTTACCTGACTGAAAAAGAGGTTGCGGAAGGTTTTTTAATGAGGATTTGGCGCTAGCTAGTTAGGCAGAAAGCGCCTACCTACTGGCGAGTAATTGGGTAGGGCGTGGAGGGCGCTGGGGATGCGGATGTCTTCTTGGAGGGAGGATAGTTGTTACGCTTTAAAGGCCTGGGTCAATATTGCCCTGGCCTCTACGTGCGGGGCTTGGGAAAGCCTGGTGGCTGAGGTGGCTTGGTCTGCCACATAAAGTGGCTTCGAGTGATTAGCGCGAGCGTGGCCTTTAATTGGAAGGCTTTGTAATTAGTATGGTCCTACCCTGCGGGGTTAGGAGGCCTAGCTGGCCTGGTCGATGGTCTTACGGGGTCTTTGCGGGGGGCTTGCGTAGGGACTGCTGGGCAGCCTTGAGTTAAAGACTGCGATGGACCTGCCTGAAGGTTTACAAGGGCAGGCTTTAATATATGTTCTGGCTGAGAAGCTACTCGAGACAGTTTCCTACCTGATTTACTAGCGATACTGTCGCGACTGCCTTCTCTCTCGGAACCTGTGCCAATTAGCTACCTTGTATAAGTCAGTCGGACTGATCACCCCCGTGCCTCTGTCTCGCTGCCAACCTGGGTCCTGCGACCCGTTACAAAGATGCTTTGCTAGCATATCAAAGTTTTTATAAAGCCTAGTATTCTTCTTTTAAAATAAGTTGCTATCTTTTAGGTAGATGCATATCTTGCTATAGTTTGCTTTAAGGCAGCAATTTGTTAAAAGACTGTTAGCTTTTATATAGTTGTTTCTAAAGCTTGCTGCTTTCTTTGTCTAGGTTACTATGTTATCTCTTAACTTTATTATATTCCTAGGTTGCAAACCTTTTAGAGGTTAATCGCTAGTATTAGGCTAGTTCTAAGGGTTTTTCCTGCGTCTTGGGAATAAAGGTCTTGCCCTTTTCTTTGCATCCTGCTACCATTTTCTCAGCATTCTGCTACCATTTTCTCAGCTATGCTTCTGTAAGGAAATAGAAGGTAAAGAACTATAAGAGGATAGGCTAATGCCTTGCATAGAGAAAGAATATAGTAGCAGGCATGCAGGCAGGAGGGTAGGTCTTGTGGTAAGCGTAAACTTCAGCTTGCCCTTCTTTAATTGTGTGTGCGACAGGATTTTTATCGCCGATGAGTCGGAATCTTGGTAGAACCTAATTCCAAGAGCTTGGACCGCCGCCTGCAGTCTGACTATTCTCTGACCATGGAGGTCCTTACACAATCAAATTCTGCTACATTGCCGACTACCTTGGAGACGTTAACAAACTAAATGAACTCTCTTTGCAACTTCTTCAGAATGTTCAAGACATAATCAGATCTCCTCCAATCTTTCGCATCGGCGGCCATACGCAGGATGCTGCAATGTATTGTGCATCTTGCCCTCAGACCGTCAATAATACTTTCGCCATTGGGAACGACGAAGCAATCGCCGTGAGTTTCAACCGCAACCTGTTCGAAGTCCTGAACTTGAACGTCTCGTCTCGTCAAAAATCATCTTCGGCCTGAACTTCGCTGGCAACGACGTCTCCATCCCGATCGCAGAGGTCGAAGCGGCAGAGAAGTATATGGATCCTAACCGTCTGCTTTCCTACGAGCTGGGCAACGAGCCTGAGTTCTACAACGTCCAAAGGCCGGGAGTATGGAATGTCAAAGCTTTCGTGGACCAACAGGAACAGTGGTTTAGCAAGTTGTCACCAAAGACGGAGAAGGGGTTTGTCATCTGGCCCTTGCTCAGGAGCTGAGATGGATGGGTGATTTCTCGCTCGTGGGGCTGAACAGCCTAGGAATGGCCAAGAAGGTGGATTATCCAGTTGCTTATTCGGGTCATACTTACCCATATTCTCTTTGCGATGGTAGTTTCCATCTCTGATTTCTATTTCTATGTGGCTTCTTCTGCTAATAATTTCGTCCCAGCGGAGCGAGCGGCACTGGTCTCTTTTCCCAATTTGATGAACCATTCAGCCTTGGTAGAGTTTTTTGCGCAATGGACACCCGAGATACAAGCTGCACATGACGCCGGTGTCCCTTTTGTTATGGGCTAGACAGGCAGTGTCTCATGCCACGGCGCGTCTGGCGTGAGCAATACGCTGGGAGCCGCATTATGAGAGCTCGATTATATGTTGCATGGATCGACCATGGGGATGAACGGAGTCTACTTCCACATGGGCACGCCGTTTTTTTATAGCATGTGGCAGCCCGTTGAGCACAAAGGAACTCCTGCTAGAGTGTATCCTACGTAAGTTTGACCTTTTTTCATTATAATGTTCCGTGTCCAGTCCGGCATTGATATGGCTAGTGTGGAAAATTGGGGCTGACAGCATAATCAGGTACTTCTCACTCCTCTTCATGGCCCAGGCGCTCTCCAATATTACCGACCCTTATATCCTACCTTTGGCTGCAGCGACACAAGACTCCGATCTCGCATTGTATGGTATCCACTCTAAAGCACCATCCGCCGATTCCAAACCTGAAAAGGTTTTCATTCTCAATCTTGCCTACCTGCCGGCCAGTTCTACGAGCGCTGTTAAGCCTTCAAAGTCAGTTGATGTGTCAGCCACATTTGTAAAACGTGTCAACGTGACACGTCTTTCGGGGCCTGGAAGTGATTCCATTTCGGGTGCGACTCTGGCGGGTCAGAGCTTTGATTCTGGAAAGGCGCAAGGAGAGAAAGGTGGAGACGGCCGAGGGAACGGCAACGCTGCGGAGCAGCGAGGCTGTGATTATTGAGGGCTATTGACGTGCCGGACCTTGATGCCTAAGGAAGGGTTTTAGAAATGTTGCTCGCCTCGGAAAACAAGACAAGAATGGCCAAGAAGACCCTGAGAGTTGCCGCATGACCTGTTGGAGCTAGGAGACTGGGCAGCATCAAGACATTGCAGGATATCCAACAGCAGACTGACAGAGCATACTTTGCGATCGGATGACTGGGTTTACGTTCAGAATGTAGCTTGCAGAAACAGCTGTCCATCTTGAGACGTGGGGGTAATTAGTTGAGCCTTGAGCCTGACCTTCCCTAGAGGAGACGGCGTCACTTCCGCGAGCTCCCTTTATGTATGTGCACACGGTGGACGGGCCCGTCATCAATATGTCAATCGGTTGGGCTTCCTGCGTGCGATTGCCGGCCACAGGGACGTGTAATTACTCGTTGCTACTATTGCACGTTGTTAGTAAAGGGGCTGGTAGAGAGTTAAGAGGCAAAACCGTGGTTCTGCGAAGACACATCGTCATGGTGACTTGCAATGTGGGCGTCGTTGTTCACCGGCCGGTAGATGGGTCTGTTCTCGGCCTGATAGATGAGCGATCTTAGCAGATGTTCGGTGCGGCTAACGACTCGCCGGTTCGGTAGACTGACTGCCCTTGGTGGGGAATGTGACCCGGGGGCTTGCAGGTTGTGCAGCTTTGTAGGCTGTGAAAGTTTCGCAAGCTGCGCAAGACACACGTTTCAAAAATCGGTGTCGGTCCACAGGTGGGTCCGTTTTCACAGACTGTGCGGGCTCGCAGGTTGCGGGCGCTGGGCATACCCACACAGACTTCTTTCCTGGGTCCGTCCCCGAGGCAACGGATATTCGAAGGGAACGGGCCGTGCACCCAAGCCCACTTTCCCCAGCCACCGAATTTAGGTGCCTTGTGTCTGCCACGTGCGGGCCCGTCCAACCAACCCCTTGCTTTTCCATTGTCAAGCTGTTTTCTGCATTAAAAACATCGCATTCCAGTATTTCGAGACAGCGGCTTCTCTGCCGGTGCCGATCGTCTACGTCACAATTGGATTGCGGATCCAACTTTAACTACTGTATCCGTACGGAATAATCCGTACTGCTTTCCCTTACCCAAGGTATGTACATATATACATTACAGCCCATGGTACTACTACCTGTCGATGCGGCCTGGCGATTGGCGATAGGCGACAGGTACTGTACTAAATTACATTGCCCCGCCTGGAGCGACCTTCTTCAGCTCTGGCCATCCAGACTGCGCCGTTCCTTCCCCACCACCCGCTTCTATCCTCTGCCACTCGCCGCGAGCACGGAAATTCGTCTTCTCAAGACTCTGACTGGACTCTTGCTTGACTCATTATAGCGACAAAGTGCCCTCGGCGCTGGCAAGATGCTGTTCGCCATCTTTTTCGCCTTTTGGCGCTTCATGCAGATTATCACCCTGGTAAGCTTGTTACCTCTGCGTACAAGTGATGTGATGCGCAACACGCACCTGCGGGGTCCTCTCTGGCTAGTTGCTCGACCTTGCTAGGTTAGGAGATGCTGACTGACGTCTTTCTCCGATCTCCAGATACCAACCATGGGCATGCTGAGCTACTTCGTACACGGCTACACCAGCAACAATGTCTTGGCGCCGAACTTCGTCCTCATCATGTTTATCGTGTCGGTTCTGGGCCTCGTCTGGGCGCTGTTCACCCTCTTTAGCTACCACCGCAGCAGCTCCAACGCGCGCTTCGTGGGACTGATCGACCTGTGCTTCCTCGGCGCCTTCATCGCCGCCGTCTACTACCTGCGCTTCATCTCGGGCGCCGACTGCACCCACATCGTCACGGGCGACAGGTGGGACGTCAGCTTCGGCATCTTCGGGTCCGCCAGCATCAACGGCTTTCACGTCAGCGCCAACAAGACGTGCGCCATGCTCAAGGCCTCCTTCGCCTTCGGCATCATGAACTGCATCTTCTTCACCTTCACCGCCGTCCTCGCCTGGTTCCACGGCGACCGCTCCGAGAAGGAGGAGTACCGCCACGAGACGCGCCGTCACCGCTCCAGCAGCGGCCACCACCACCGACACCGCAGCGGGAGCCGCCACGGCAGCCACAGGAGCTCGCACTCGCACTCTCGCGGCTACGTCTAGAGGGGCAAACAAACATGCAGGATATATTTCAGCGGGGCGGGTTGTTGTTGGGCGAGCCTCGGGGGGAGGGGCTCTTTGGGCAGGGAGGAGACGTAGGACATCTGTAGCCGGAGCATTGCCGGCCGGGGTGGGGCTCGATCTCTTCCCCCTCCTGGATCACCGGCAGGGATATTTTCTAAATATCTCGCAGTACCGGGTTGGGCCCGGTGAAGGTAGGTTCTACTACCTTGGGTTGTCTTGGGGATTCTTTGCCGACTTGCGACTCGGGACTCGGGGGCCCGTTTGGGTTAGTCTCGGTTTACTACTGCGACTATGATGACGTCGGCCGAAGCACGACACTTATGACTGACCATGTATACTTGTATACTGTTCTCGCTATATTCTGATGTTTGTGGCCTCAGGTCCTGGCCTTTTCTGTCTGGACGGGGAGTACGGAAAGAGCGTTCTGGGATGCCGTATTTCCTCGCTACATCCACATGGTTCTAAATAGACAGACAACCTCATCCTTTCGAGCGACGAGGCATTCATGATACTGCTGATCGCCTGGGCGCCTTTGCCTGTCTGGGGCAGGCCTATCGTTTCTATTCACCAGCCTGCTCTCCCACTATTTCGGTAATTCCAATGAGGACGGTTTCCTTGATCGGAACGGCTGAAGCAGGCAGGCATCATCCCACAGGCACCCTGCCCCCATCACTTCCATGCGAGGATCTCGCTCTGGACGGCGACATACCACGCATCCTCTGTCTCCACCCACTCCCTCAGTGCCGCCCTCGTCTCCTCGACCTCCGACTCCGAAATCCCTGCCTCGACCCAGCTCCGCCGGTACGGGTCTCCCTCCTCTAGCCTCCCCAGCAAGCCTTCCGCCAGGAACCGCCTGCCCTCGGGGCCCGAGTACACTGTCGTGCCGGCCCCGATCCGCGCCCCTCCCCCCTCTGCGCCGCCCCCACCGTCGCCATCGACGTCGAACCCCGCAGCTCTGAGCAGGGCTGGCATCGTGGGGCCGGGGAAGTCGGGCGCCCCCACGCCGCGCAGCAGGCGGCGGCCGTGCAGGCGGTCCAGCCCCAGCCGGCGCGGGTACCAGTGGATCTCTGCGACGTCGCGGCAGGCTAGCACGCCGCCGGGCCTCAGGACCCTGCGCATCTCGCGCATGGCGCGCAGCGGCACGTCCGGCGGCGGCAGGTGCGGGAACAGCTGGGACGAGTAGACCACGTCGAAGGTGCCGTCGGCAAACGGGAGGCCCGCGAGCACGTCCGCCACCTGGAACGACACCTCCCCGAGGCCGCCGTTACCGTCCGCCGCGGCCGCCGCGGCGCCCCTCAGCTCGTCCAGGTGCCGCCTTGCGTCGTCGAGGACAGACTGCGAGAGGTCCACGCCGACGACGCTGCCCTCGGGCGCGTGTCTGGCGAGCCCCCCCGTGATCGTGCCCGGCCCGCACCCCACGTCGAGGATCTTGTCGGACGGCTTGATGTGCGGGAGGAGGAATGCCGCATCCGACTCGACGGTCCGGGAGGCGTGGCTGGAGAGGGTGGACTTGGAATAGCCCTGCTTGTAGTTTGTTGTTTCGTTTCCGGCCATTTCGTTGTTGTCAGTCAAATTGATGACAACAGGGAGGGAGGAAGGGGAGTTCATTCGTGCGGGCAAGTGGTTGATCACTACCCTGATTCCGCCCCAGTTTTTAGGTCACTGGTGGGGCTCTTTAATGGGGATCTTTCACGTGACAGTGTAGTAAAAACAGCTAGACAGCCCCAGTCCAGTAGAATCAATGACGCTTCCACCATTTTCACTGACAGGAACGATGGAGGTACAGTGGGGGTGTAACTAAATACCTGAGTACAACCCCATCTATTCGTGCGCAAGCTATCGAGCAATTACCTCGGGAGGTGCGACAACACCACCAATCTATAGGTATATAGCAGTCTTTACAGCCATGAATTTCCGCCCAGACTTACATGGCGCCCATTTCCGATTCTAACGCCCAGCCTTTCTTTGACAGCTTCGACTCTCCCACCAACATTACAAACTCCTGAACGGCAGAAAAAGAAACGAGGAGGATATATCACACAAAGGGTGCGCTACAGGGCCTCAATCGCCTTGAGCAAGACCTCGACGCCTCGCTCGCCAATCTCGTCGACTTCTTCGCTCCCACACCCGCCGCGCAGCATGCTGGCAACGTCACTCAATACACCCAGCGGGATGTAGCAGCCTGTCTTCGCCAGCTCCAAGCTCTCCTTCATTCGGCTCGTGTGTTCCCACTCACGCGCGGCCACTTCGGCACGCTCAATGACCTTGTCTGGGATGCCGCACATGGCGGCGCAGTGCATGCCGAACGACCCCTCCGCGACGCCGTCTTCCAGCTTGTACAGGAACGTGATCCTGCGATTCAACTCATCCACGTGGATCTGCATCCGGCGGGCCCGGATTTCCGGGTGGTTCTCAAACTCGGTGGCGAGGCTGTGGTAATGAGTCGCAAAGAAACCGACGCACCCAATGTGAGACGCGACGTGGTGCAGGACAGCCTGAGCCACAGCAACGCCGTCGTACGAAGACGTGCCTCGACCAAGCTCGTCCAGGATGACGAGAGAGCGGGGAGTAGCCTCCGACAGGATCTTCTTGGTCTCGCACAGTTCGACGAAAAATGTGCTCTGGGCGGCGAAGATGTTATCGTTGGCGCCGAGTCGCGACATGATTCGGTCGATGGGCGTCAAACGAGCCGAGACGGCTGGGACGTAGCAACCGATCTGTGCCATGATCACCGCAGTGCAAGACTGTAATCGCATTAGCTGACTTGTGTCCGACAATGACAATGACTGTTCAAACTTACCATTCGGAGAATTGTGGACTTGCCAGCAGCGTTAGCACCCGTCAAAAGATTAATCTTCGCTTCGTCCCCACCCAACGTGACATCGTTGGGGATGAAGTCGGCGACCGTGTTCAGCATGCAGGGGTGGCGAAGCTCCTCGAATTTGACTACACTTCGCTCGTCATCGACAAATACGGGCCGGCAGCTGGGCTCGCCCAAGGCCGAGGACGACTTGGCCAGGCTGATGAGGCAGTCTAGCTGAGCGGTGATGCGGATCGCCTGTAGCCAGACCTCGTAGTCGGTGTCGAAACGCTGGAAGAACCTCGAGGCCACCTCCTTGACGATCTGGGAGTGCGTCTCCTCAGCCTCCTGGAGCTCTCGGACAAGATCCTCGAGCTCCCTGAAGTAGTAGCGCTTGACGGCAGCGGTGGCCGACATCTGGCGCCAGTTCGCAGGCACCTTGACGGCCTTGGGGACCTCGATCTGGTATATCTCCTTGCCGACGTCGGTGAACTTGACAGTCTTGCACTTCAGAGCGCCCTTTTGTTTCTCAAGAAGCGAGTGGAGATGGCGCTTGATTCGGTTGATGGTCTCTTGGCTGTTGTCGAAATCCTCCTCGATGCCACGCTCCGGAATCAGCAACTTCTCATCTCTGGCCTTTTTCCTGTCGAAGGCCGTCTCCCAGTAGCCCAGTGGTCCCTTCAAATTGGGCATCGAGGCAATCAATCTGTCGACAAGACCATTACCGCCGCCGAAGGCGCTGAGCAGACCCATGGTGTACTCTATTTGCTCGAAGCCCTCGAGCACGCGGACAAAGTCCTCGGGCTTGCAGACACGGGCGTGGATCCGCGAGATGAGTCTCTCAAGATCGGGCATCTTGGTCATTTGAGACGAGAACTGCTCGCGGATACTGCGGTCCGAGTTCAGCATGTCCACGGCATCGAGCCTCTCATTGATCTTCTGAATATTGCAGAGGGGGTGGCAGACCCATTGACGGAAGAGTCGCTTGCCGAACGGGGTGACACATCTGTTGAGGAGATTGAAGAGAGTGCCATCTGGGCCACCATTGGCCGTGTTGGAGAAGATCTCCAGGTTTATAAGCGTCTGGCCGTCAAGAATGAGCGTGCCATTCCGGTGGATGGGATTGTACCACGCGAAGTTGCCCTGCGAAAGCAAGGTCTGCTCAAGCTTCAGAACCCGCAGATAATAAACGAGAGCGCCAAGTGCGGACATTAAAAGGTCCTTGTCTTTGGCCTGGGCGAGCTTCTCTGGCCACACCTGCTCGTCACCGTCTTGCCCAGGGGAGAAATAAGAACCGCAATCCAACTCGCGCCGCGTGAGATTGGCATCCCAGAACTCAGAACCTGGCTTTAGATGATTCCAGATGGTCGTGGGTGCGGTATTGTTCTTGAGAATACGGAGGGCCTTTGTGGAGAGCTGCGACTTCTCTAGAATGATCTCTCGAGGGCCTGTCTGGGCAACAAAGGTCTCGAACTTGGTGAGCTCGGCGTCGTCCTGGAACTCGGAGATAAAAAACTGGCCGGTTGATGCATCAACAAACGCAATGCCGAACGCAGGCATGTCGTCAATGACAGACTCCTTGATAGCTGCGCAGTAAGTTGCCATGTCGTCCTGGAGCATGCTAGCTTCGACGAGGGTTCCGGCCGTGAGGATGCAGGCCAGCTCGCGGCGGATGATCTTGTCAGACTTCTTAACCTTGCCATCACGCTCCCTCATTTCCTTGCCCAGAGCGGACTCCATCTGGTCGACACGAGCCACCTTGAAGCCCTTGGCCACGAATTGATTGACCCACATGTCGAGCGAGCCCTCGGGGACTCCAACCATGCGCATGTTGACGCGGTCGGTAAGTTTCAGGTCGAACAATTGGTGTCCGATCGTGGCGTCGTTCTCGTACAGCTCGTAAAACTTGCCTTTCTTGAAGAAAACGACAGTGTCCCATAGCTTCTGCTTGATCTCCCAATACTGCTTCTCGAAGGGGGAGAATTTATGCCAGGCAGCCGGAGGGATGTAGATCGACGTTGGATCAAACTCGGGATGACCTTTCGGGCGTTTGTCCATGTCCATGAGATTGGCCAGCCATGGGTATCTGTCTTCGGGTTCCTTTGTGTGTGCCTTTGGTTTTGGCTTTGGTTTCGAGACGTCCCCAGCGACGCGAACTATCGCCGATCGTGTGCTGGCCGGCTGAACATTGTCGGGGTCATACTTCCACTGCTGAGCAGTGGAGGTCGGGGGCATGTCCGCCATCGACTCGTCCTCGGCCTCGTCCTCGTCCTCATCCGCAGGGGCGGCGGGAGACGACGAGACATCGGCCCGCTTTCGTGGAGCGGAGGACTTTGGTGCAGGCCGCTTCCGCTTTTTAGACTTCGGAGCACTATCGGAATCGTCGGAAACGACGAAATCGGCCATCTCATCTGCAAGCACGATCTTAGCACCTCCAATCACTCATAGGGACGTCAAGAGTTTCCCCGTACCATCGTTATCTTCGGATTCCGCGTGGTTTTCCAGCTCGAAATCATCTTCGTCGTCCTCCTCTATCGCTGTACGAGAGCGTCGTGGTTGAATGCGCTTTGCCTTCTGGGGAACGAACATGTCTTCGTCATCGTCGTCATCGGGCTCGGCGTAGTTCACGGCCTTCTTGGTCTGCAACGCGGAAGTCAGAAGGCTGGTAGAAAGGGATATGGGGATAATTAAAGACTCGACCAACCTTGCGTGAAGGGCTGCTGGCTAGTTGTGCAGGGACTCCCACAGCCTGTGTGGCGACGATCTCAGCAGGCGTCACAGGTGACGGCAGGTTTTGGTGGAGTACCTTGACAGCCGTTGATCCCGCATTCTCTTGGGAGCTGGAAGGCTCAATGGCATCGCTGCTCGGAACGGGCGTTATGTTGACAGTCCTCTTGACGGTGGACATGGAGTTGGATTTTGTGGTTTCCTTGAGACATTGGGACAGGGTCTTCTTCTGTGTCGAGGACACAGGTCTGGGGGAAGGGATTACTCCAGAAGCACCAGCTCCGGCCGCCTTAGAGAAGAAGCCAAGGATGCTCCGTTGTTTGCCCGTCGACCCAGATTGACTCGAGGCAGACCTCGCCGGAGTGCGGGCAGTAGGTGCGGATCTGCCCGTCATCTTGATCACCCTTGGAAGTGGTTGCCAATTGGGCTTACAAGATAAACAGGAAGGAAGGCTGCGGTATATAAGTAGGGTGCAACGAGAACAAAACGAAAGGGGACGAGTAGCTGTGCTTCGATTGACGATGATAGACAATGGGCGGAAACGGGTTTAAAAGGGACGGGAAGGGAACGGGTGTCCTTGGGAGACGCGATTAGATGAGAAGTCGCGCCTCCACCCTGGATCTCGCGTTCGCGTCCATTTCCATTAGAAAAGTGGGTCATCAGCTACGGCCCACACACCTACTCTGCATGGGGCTAGTGCCGTACTCTTGGCTCTGCCACCTCCTGAGCGCCCCTCTTGTGCGGATTGTTTCTGTTTCCGAGACTATGGATTGCTGTTGGAGTAAAGATACCTTGGGTATTATATTGTACAATTGAATTGTGGGTATTTTCTGCTCTCCAAAACGTTCCATCGCGAGTGTGCTCGCTAGAGGACGCTCAACATCCTTAACTCGCGAGGACTGAGACCAAGCACAGCGCGCTCTTGCGTACGTGTAGTCTTGCAAGGCCCCCTGGTCTATCAATAAGTACTTCGTCATTTCCCAGTCAGCCACATGAAGAACTTCCCAGCGGCCAGCACCATGCGGAATAGTGTGGCCTTGACCCCGGTATAATGGCCAAAATCGATTCGCTGATGCGACGTCTTGAGCGTCGCCTGCGCCCGCGGGACGCTCGACTTGTCATAAGCCGACACCGCCTGGTCGAGCGACGCGGACCGGCAGAGATTCTCGGCCAGGTCTAACCCGTCCTTCAGAGCCATGTTGGCGCCATTTCCGGCAAACGGACTGACTGCGTGGTTCGCATCCCCGATGAAGATGACGCCCCGGAGGGCCGAGTCGTGGTAAAATGGCTGCTTGTCCCTGGCAGGAAAGAGAAAGATGGACGAAGGGTCCGTGGCCTCGACGATGGTGAGGAAGGGCTCTGCGAACATGTGTCCGACTGCCTTGGCCTCCTCCACGACGGCCTTGAGCTGCTGCTCTGGCGAAAGTTGCCGGTCCAGCCATTGCCGCTCGGGTTCGAGCCGGCTCAGCCCCCATACCACGGTCTCTTTGTCGCCTGGAGAGTAGAAACAGCAGACTCCTTGGCCAGAAAATGCCAGGCCCCAGCTGTTGTCGACGGGCTTCGGTATGCCGTTTGGGAACTTGGCGTTCCCCCCCAGTTGATTTGCGCCTGCGTACACAAGCCCGTCATCCGGTCGAAAACTGTGTCGGATCTTGCTGTGGGTCCCATCCGCGCTGATCAAGAGGTCGCACTCTTGCTCGATGGCGTGACCGGGCCCCCGAGACTGTGACGGCGATGCGGCCATTCTCGAGCCTCCTGGCGGCCGTGCAGGATTCTTCCCAATGAATTGTCGCCTCCGTTTTCTCGGCGGCTTCGAGGAGGATCTTCCTCAGGTTCTTTCTGGCAATGCGGATCCCGGAAGTTGGTAGGTCTCCATACGCCTTCGGCTTGATTGCGATGAGCTCGTTCCAATCCTTGTCCCACATCTTGAACGAATCGGTATTGTCCCGCCCCAAAATGGCGCAGCTGAGGATCTCTTCCAACAGGCCGAGCTGCTGCAAGACAGTGAGGCCGCTATCCTTGTCGCTGCCATGAAGGGACAGCGAGTATCCCTCCCTCTTGAGGCTGCCTTCTCTTGGGTCTCTCTCATAGACAACGATCTCGGGCAGCTCCGCAGCTGGGTCCCAGAGCTTGCAGAGGGCAATAACAAAAGACAGTCCGGCGATGCCGCCGCCGGCAACAACGACCTTCTTCCCTTGGAGGAAATGATGATTGTGAGTGGACATCCTGGGCGTCGTGGTTTGTTGAGCAAGCAAGTGACCGAATTAGGGATAATGAGCACGGCCTGGACAAGCCTTAAATGTCCCTCATCCATCGCCTAGACTTGTAGGTTCCACAACGCGTAACTCGGATGCCAACCATGGCCGGGATTACGTGGCGGTGGTGGTGGTGGTTGGTAAGTGAGTGCTGATTGAGCACAACGCGCCGTGTGTCAGAGCGCCGTCGCAACCTCATACGTCATCCCCGCCTTCGGCATTCTCAATGGTACGAGCTCCGGGATCATCGTCTCCACAGTCTCGGAGCACTCCGCTGTGCTCCGTAGTGAGAACGGGAGAAGGCCCAATTGATAGCTTATTTACTAGGTATCTGTGTCCGAATATGGGTAGTATTACCTCCCGACGTGATTAGGGGCAGTGACCATGGTTTACGGTGGTTTAAAGCCGAAGACAACAAACCAACAAATACGAGATTGCAGATACTCGCTGATTTATTGATTGATTGACTGGCAGGCACAGCAATATTTTTCTGGCGATCGATGACGCCAACATTTGTTCTACGGATACTAAACCGGAAGCACAAATGCAAAATGGCATCTCTCCGAGGCCTCCAAGCTCGGCGTGAGCCTGTCATTCTGCTACCCGAACCTGAGGCTGCCCCAGCGCGTGTGGGCCTCCTCGGCCGAGCGGACCTACAAGTCTGCCCAGGCCCTTGTCCGGGGCCTGGAGATGGACAACAACACCATAAACGTCGTCTCCATCTACGAGTCCGAGGAGGACGGGGGGACATCCTCACCCCCTACCAGAGCTGTCTGGCCTACTCGTCCGCGTCGGCAGCGAGCAGTCGGCGGTATTCAAGGACAGGTGCCAACTCCGACTTGGGCGGCAGCGAGGCGGCCATCAACGATACGATGCCCCTCGGCCGCATCAACCGGCGGCGGGCGTGGCGGAGCTCGCACGCGCTGCCCTTCCTGGACAACATCGCGCTCGAGCGGCTCAACTGCACGACCAGCCCGGGTTTCGCCAACGGCGACTACTACCGCGCCGTCGTCAACGGCGCGCTGCAGGACCTGCCCGACGGCTGTGGTGACGGGCCGGGCACGAGCTGCTCGCGCGGCCGGGTCGCGGCGTATGTGCGGGGGCGGGCGCGGCCAGATTCGGCGGATTCTTCGAGAGGTGCGGCGTCTAGTTACGCAAACGCCACCGACGTGCTGACTATCTACTCGGATTCCCGGGTTGGGAACGGCACGGCGGTTGGGAAGAGGTCGTTGTGGGAAGAGAGAGTAACGAGGCTTATCGCGGAGCACTAGGGTAGCTCTAATTACCATGGTCTAGCGGTTTAAATGGGACCCGCTTGCTCCGTAATTGCTGGGCAAGTACGGATCCATAGTTCGTCCCAATACGTCCCAGTTATGAGGGGCGTTTGGGATAGTCTGAGAGGCACGTTCATCGTACTAAAACATCGCTGCTAGTAGAGACAGGCAGCCTTAGATCGAGGAGAAAGGGAGCTTTAAACCAGAAGGTTTCACCTGGTCGCGACTTGGCTTGGATCAGAGCCAGGGTGTCATGCCCTTTGGAGTAAAATGAATAAAACGGTTGGATTTAGCGCGCCGAACGTTCCTTCCATGCTGACGTTGGTGGATGCAATGATTGGAAGTTTGGAAACAACCCCGCCCCCACTTCCAACCAGAAATTTTGCGACCTTCACACAGTCAACGGGTCCGCGAGCAGAGAATGCGCAATGGCCAACAACCTGTCAGCTCCCCCTGCGCTCTCGACACCAGCGGAACACCTCTTTGAACGAATCAAGCCCAACGTCGCTCCGGCCGACAACGAAGCCCAGGCCCGTACAAGATCCGAAGATGAGCTGCGGGACACATACGAGATCGCCCGGACGGCGAAGGAGATCCGGGGTGGCAGGCGGAGGAGAATCGCGCTGCAGTTCCCGGACTCTATGTTAAGACATGCGCCGTGGGTGGTCGAGGCTCTGAAAGCCGAGTTGGACACCCTGGGCTACGACGAGACCCCCGGAAACACGACCGAGGCACCTCGAGGGGCCGCCGACCCAAATGTGGAACAGGACATGGGAAGAAGTGCGCCTCCGGAGCCAGCTGCCGGCAGCAGAGAGTCGCAGCCGCAGCCGCAGTCGCAATCGGCGGGCAGCGGCGGTCAGCAGCAAGAGCGTATATACATCCTAGCCGACACATCCTACAGCGCGTGCTGCGTCGACGAGATTGCCGCCGAGCACGTCGACGCCGACGTGGTGGTCCACTACGGCCGCGCGTGCCTCTCGCCCACCTCGCGACTCCCCGTCGTCCACGTCTTCACCAAGCACAGGCTAGACGAGCAGGCAGTCCTCGAGGCGTTCGAGCAGACCTTCGACGACAAGCAGAGCAAAGTGGTGCTGATGGCCGACGTCACTTACCATGACCACGTCCCCGGCTTAGCCGCGCGCATCAGAGCAGACCGCGGATACGCCAACCTGCTATCCACCGGAATTTGCCACAACCCCCTGGGGAGGATACCGAACCGGCTGATCCTCGATCCGGAGGGGGCCGACATCTCCGCCGACGTCGACCTGAAGGACTACGCCGTCTTCCACATCTCCTCCCCGCCAACCGCCCTCCTCCTCGCCCTGTCCTCGCGGGTCAAGTCGCTGCACATCCTACCGACACCGACAACATCACCATCGCCATCCGACCCCCGCCCCACCGCCCCAGCCCCGTCCGCCACACAGACAGCAGCCCAGCTCCTAGGCCGGCGGTACGCGCGCGTGCTCACGCTCGCGACGGCCGGGGTGGTGGGGATCCTGGTCAACACGCTGTCCGTGTCCGACTACCTGCCCGCGGTGGACGGGGTGCGGCGGCTCGTGGCGGCGGCGGGCAAGAAGAGCTACACTGTGGTGGTGGGGCGCCTGAACCCGGCCAAGCTGGCCAACTTTGCCGAGGTCGACGGCTGGGTCGTCGTCGGCTGCTGGGAGGGCTCGCTTGTCGAGGACGACGGGGACTACTTCCGCCCCGTCGTCACGCCGTTTGAGCTCGGGGCCGCGCTCGTCGGCGACGGGAAGAGGGTGTGGGATGGCGCGTGGTGGGGCGGGATCGAGGGGCCCCGGGGGGTGCTTGGGGGGGAGGAGACTGGGGAGGAGGAGGAGGTGGCGCGGGAGGCTGACGGGGCTGGTGAGGAGGTCGTCGAGGAGGATGGTCGGGATTGGGAAGGGGGTGTGGACGAGGAGGAGTCGGAACCGCCCGAGTTTGACCTGCGCACCGGGAAGCTGGTCAGCCGCAGCCGGCCGATGAGGATGATCTCGCACAATCAGGGCAGGGGTGCAGGGGTAGGGGAGGCGGAGGCGGAGGCGGGGACGCGGTCATCGGATGCCCTCGCGCTCAGGCCAAAGTCCGACTTGGCGACCGTGAAGGGCGTCGTCAGCCCCGGCGCCGAGTTCCTCAGATCCCAGCGGACCTGGCAGGGTCTGGGGACCGACTTCGACAGCTCAGAAACCAGTACCGCGATTGAGGAAGGCAGGAGCGGCGTCGCGAGAGGTTATACTGTTGGTGAGAATCACGAGCGGACGTAGCAATAAATCATTGCCACTCTATCCCCAGCCGGGGTCCGACAGCGACGGCGACGACGACCACCCGTTGTGAAGACTGATTCATTCTTCATTTTCTTGTGCTACTGTACATCAGGGGGTCCCCTGTTCGTTTCCGATTGTCATCAACCATTGCCAAGTGGCAGTTCAATGTTGGCAAGTAAGCAGCAACTGTAGCAAAAGTAGCAAAACTGGTGATGTCCTGTTCCCCCTTTGACGCCAAACCACACTCCTCCTCTCGTTCGTCTCCTAGCCGAGAGCGATCATCCGCTCAACCTCCCGCGCCATTCTTGCTCACAAAAGTGAGCCACAGTTGAGCTGATTTGAGGAGAGTGCCATGGCCACTGGGGTGGGGGGGGCTGGCCTCAATTCAAGACCACGACCAAAGATGATTCGGAAGAGCTGTCCCGCTCTCCCAAGCCCTGGGCACGCTGTCCGGAACCTTGACGCCGGTATCCCGGGGCGAGGCGCCCGGAGCGGGAAGCAGCAGCCTGCTGGAAATGGCGTCCCACAACGGGACGGCTGGTGTGGCGGACAGAGCGGAGACGATCGTTGCGTGGACAACGACGCTGGCAAGGCTGGCGGTTAGCATACGGCTCGGCTTCTCGACGATAGCAAGTGTCGGTTTTGTAAGGAAAAGGGAGTGAGGGGTGGGCCGCTTACGAGAGGGGAAAGTGAGCCATCCGAGAACACATCCCAGTTGCCGTTGTCGGTGTTGTAAGGCGGAGGAGGAGGCGGGGACCCTCCCGTGTTTCCACGGCCCTGGTTGTCGCGGGCATTCTCTCTGCCGCGAAGCCCGTTCGGGAAGGCGGCGTGATAGGCGTCGAAGTTGACGCGGCCATTGCCGAAATCGAAGTTGCCGGCGGCTGGCATGCCGCTGTAGACAGGCTGAGGCTGGGTGGGCATGGGCGTGGGAATGGTTTGCACTGGATTCGGCATGGGACCATAGGGGTAGTGGCGGTTGTTGTTGGCCGCTGGCATGTCAACCAGTTCATGATTCTCGACGCCACGAGCTGCTTCCAAGTCTGCCTGGGCACGGCCGATGGGAACGTGCCGAATGGCAGCAGCATACCAAGGCTGCACTCCGGCGGCACCTCTCCGAGTGCGGATGATATACGCCACCCGGACGCATATAACAGACACGAGGAAGCAAGCCACGAACACGGCTATGGCCGCCGTAGTTGCAGCAGTGCCGGTGAGAGACCCAAAGTGAACATTGTCAGGATCATCACGAGCGGTGATGATGACTGGAGCCATGGCGACGGCTCGAAAGAGAGAGACGGGTTAAAGGAAGGGTGGAAATGACCTGGCAATGTGCGATACGAGTGAAGTATGAAGAGCGAACTGATATCAGGAGAAAAATTCGGGTTGCTTGGTTCGAAGGATCGAAGTGATGTTGATGTGGAAACGGTGACCGGGCTTGAAGTAATGTGAGTACCGACGTCAATCAGGGAGATTACCTAGGGGGATGAGGAACCTACAAGAAATCCCGCGGCTTGGTCTCGAGGGGGAGAAGGCGATGATTCTGACTGAAAAGGAGTTGGCTCGACGAGAGCGGACAGAAAAACTGGGCGGTTTTCTGATCCTGCTCGGTGCGCGCGCCTAGGTTCGAGGATATCTCGAGTAGGTTTGGGGAAGGAAAGATGGTGTACGCGTTTGGATTGTTTATTCTGAGGACCCGCAGAGCCTTTATATCTCAGAACAATGACCCCGATATCGAGGAAGACAGGGCTGGTGCGGGTCCGAGGAATACACAAGAATGGACAGAGGAAGGCAGCAGCGGAGCCACAGGTCGGCTTGAGAGATGAAGTGCTCCTCGAACTGTTCCTTGGCCTTTGTCTCGAGGTTGTAATGCAGGGCAGAAACTTTTTTGTCCCATTGACTGACTACTTATGGACGCCGGAAGCCTGGTTGCGATGCCGTTTCTTTCTAAGGGACCGGGTTGTATAAGCGGCTATGTGGCATTTGTTTTCAAAAGACGGTAATCACTGGGATTTGATCACAATCAGGGACGTAGTTCTCTCGAGATTCATCCATTAAACTCGCCTAATTTAGACGCAACGGCCTGCCCCTCCCACGAGAGTGCGAATATTAGAATACCCTGCCACAATGGTTGGCCTCGCTGGCCAGCCAAGGCATATTACACCTCCCCAGAGAGATCGCCGTGTCCGACGACCCCGGATCCCTAACCCAAGCTCAAGCAGGCAAGTCGAAGACATGATGTGTCCGGTGCTTTCTTTTCCCATCTGGGAAGCTAGGTGTGGCCGGCGGCCAAGTAGCCCTCTTGATGTTGCTGGCGCAGGTATCGGTATCGCCAGCGAACCAAGTCGAAGACCAATTTGAACGTAAACACGAGGCCGTGGGTAGCCAGGGTTGCGGCAACACCGAGAAAAAAGCCTCCGAAGGCGGCCTGCGCGCCCCTGCCAAACTCGCTATAAGCTGTCGAGTTCATCGGTGTCGTGGGCTTAGTGTGGTCCTCTGGCTCGTCATTACAGTGGGCTTGGTCGATCTGACGGGCGAAGACGGTGGTGATGGTCAGGCAACGATGAGCCAGACTTGGGAGTCGAAGAGGCACTTTCGTCCAGCTAAGGAGAGACATTCTTGAATGCAAGCGATTGTAGGAGCAACTTGCAGGATTCTAGTTTACGTAGAGAATTCCGAGGAAGCAAAAGTGGGATTTTTATATTTGAGGAAAGCGATGGGTCGGTGAGGAGGTGTAGACCTGGAAACTGGGCGAAAAGGTACCATCAACCTGGGTAGCTACCAGTCGTAAATCGAAGGATGGACGGAGCATTGCTGAACAGTGTTACATGGAGATACATGAGAGGATATGGGTCATTTGTGGAGAAATACCTCAGTTGTCAGGGCGATTTGTGTCGCTCTGCGAACTGTTTGCTCCGTGGGATTGCTCGGCGACAGAGGTGGGCTTGCAGACCAATGCGACGCATCTTTTTAAATGGTGATAGGGAGTGCATTGTTGTGACTAGGAAACCCCAAATCACAGGCAAAAAAGCAAGCAGATCTTTGTCCTGGCAGTGAGCAATGTCTAGAGATAATAGGAACCTAGCCACACATGACTCCCTAGGTGACTATGTCCCTGCCTAGGACAGACCTGGCAGGGTAGGGCTAAATATTTCATTTTATATTTCATTTTGGCTGAGATTCCATGTCTATCCGAATCCGACTACAGTGTGCGAAGAGAGATACGGTTGTAGAGTGGAGGAGATGCAATCACTCCACTTTCAAAGATACATCGACTATTGACCTCGTCACATCTATTTCTGTCCTGATTCAAATTTGTGTTGGGTGATTTGACACCCTAGCTTTATACTTGCGGCGGAAGAGCGCAGAGCAAGCCACGGCAGTGCGCATTCATGGCTACCTCATTATTAGAGTTGGCTGCTTGGAAAGAGAGGATCATCCTTTCAGGACTGTTAAACTAATAAAATCTAGCTATTTTAAATTTAGAAATTGTGCTGTGACAGAAGTTCATCTGATCAGCGGAAATATCACCAGTTTGAGGATAGATTAGGTTCAGAACCCGTTTTCGAAGTCACTATCACTGTCTCGCCCCCGGGAGAAAGGTGATCGCAAGGCTTTACCTTAGTCATCGTAGGGATGAACGGTGTCGAAACGTGGGAGCTTTGATTTTGGGACTTGCCAGTTGAGATGAAATGGTCAAAATTCCTGCATGAGATTGTAAGAGGTAAATCAAACAAACATGTGGAACGAGGGATGGTATAAGTGCAGGATTAATGAAAGACGATAACTCCCGAGATGAAACGTATTAAAAAACTTAAACCTTAAAACTGGTACTCCAGCAGGTGGGTTCCGGAGAGTTTCTATCTAAACTGCGACTTTACACAGTACATCATCCTTTTATCCAGAGGGGGCTAAAAAGGCAAGGGGCCGGCCTAGAACCTGCTTCAGGTCAACCGCAGAGTCGGTTACTTCATGATCGACTTCGCTTGGCAGTTTTGCGGGGCTTCCCCAGACATGGGTTGATTTCAGATGCCAATCGCTTGAAGAGTCGGAGCTGAGCACTGACCCCTGCTGTGCCGATCGTCATGGCGGGTGGAGGATTGGATTGTGTCAAAGCGGCTGCATCATGGGGAACCGTTTGTCTGATTAGCTGATTCTATGTAGGTAGGCGGGAATCCCAGGCAGGTGATAAGCTTCGGCTGAGATCCCAGCAACGCTCAGACAACAGACTCGACACCAAGCATTGGTCGGCTGTCGCCACTACCATACAAGAGAGGCCGCATTAGTGCCATAGGGCTTCACTAAAGTCGTCCACCAGCCTCCCCGAAGGTCTCGACTCTCGACCAGCCAGCCCCCCTCGACGCCACAATGCCTTAACAGTGTCTGATCCCAAATGAGGCCGCGGAGCAGACGGAAGAAGAATAAGAGGAGGAGATGAGGAAGAATAGCACGTCGTCGTTGATTGGGTCCAAAGGCAAAAATGGGCGAAACGTGGCGCTGTCACCAAGTTACCCAAGATGTTGCTGGCTGATCTTTCTTCAATCGTGCGGCCTGCCATCACTCATCAGACCAGAGCGACAAAGTCGGGTTCAATGCGCACGTCTTTTATTTCCCCGTCCGCTTGGATCGCATTAGCTGCGGGATCGATTATATAGTAATCAAGCTGGATCGAAGCGAGTCGGGGAAGAGCAAGCGAGGGTGAAGGCGACGGAGAGACCCGGTCTCAGCCGTATGTACAACTCGGTCCCGGTTCATGCACGCTGGGGGGCCCAATGCGCCGCGTACCAAACCTTGGAAAAGTCCCCATGAACGTGCGGTTTGACAAGGCAATCCCCGCCATCAGTATCGAGATTCTATAAGATCTGACAGTGAGACCCACGTAGCATTTTCGATCCCTCCCCCATGTGGACCAGATCTCCTTGCCTTCTTGTCGATGCGGGGCCAATTTTGACCCATCATCATCCATCCATTCATCCCCTTTCCAGCTTAAAAAGCAGGCAAAGTTATCGATGGATATAGCAGGTCCGGGCTACGACAATGCCAATGGCACGATCCCCCAGATGCTACCACCCTTCACTGGTGCTCCTGCCCACAACTATGGCGGTATACGCCTTGTCGCTTCCATCTGGGTCTTGTCGGCGGTTGCCCTAGTCTTCCTCACGGCTCGTTGCTACTGCAAGTTCCTGAGGCACATGAGGCTCTGGTGGGACGACGGCATCCTCATTGCCGCCTGGGTATGTCATTCACACGCAGGCCCTGGGGGAGATAGATGCCCGGGGAGATACCCGGGCACACGGAAAGGGTTGTCGCTGATTTGCGAGGCCAGGTCTGCATCACGGTTGAATCGGCTCTGTTGACCTATGCCGTCACCCTGGGCTACGGATACCATCTCGGCGAGCTACCACCAGCACTGTTCCCGTATGTATTCGATGCCTTCAGGGCCATCAACGTCAGCGGCACCTTCTCTCTCGTCGCCGCCATCTGGTCCAAGACAAGCTTCGCCCTCACCCTTCTCCGCCTGACAGAAGGTCGGACCAGGGCCCTTGTCTGGTTCATCATGATCTCCATGAACATCGCCATGGGCCTCAGCGCCTTGTTCATATGGGTTCAGTGTACGCCCGTAAGGAAGTCCTGGGACCCCTTGATCGAGGGTACCTGCTGGTCGCCTACCGTCATTACCCGATACAATATCTTCTCAGCAGGTGCGTCGCCGCTCATAGCTTCTCCCACTCACCCTCTTCGGACATGGTTGCTGACCTGCGGTTGATTTCGAAGCCTACTCTGCCTTTATGGATCTCGCTCTTGCCCTCTTGCCCTGGAAGATTATCTGGGGCCTCCAAATGAAGAGGAAAGAAAAGATCGGCGTGGCGGTAGCCATGAGCTGTGGCATCCTGTAAGTAACTAGCCCAAACGCATTGAAAAGGGCAATCAATACTGACCCACACCACTAGTGCCGGCGTCACCGGCATCATCAAGACGACCAAAATCCCGGCCATGGCATCCGCAGATCCATGTAGGTCCCATTCCATTCCACACCTTCGAACTCGACAGATTGCTTGAAACAGGGGGCTGACCCATTCTTAGACGACGGCATCGACCTCTTTATCTGGGGCAACGCCGAGTCGTGCGTGACCATCGTCGCCGCAAGCATTCCCATCCTCCGCGTCCTCTTCCGGGACGTCAAGGCCTCAAGCCGGAGGTACTACCTCTCTGGCGAGGGGGAAACCGGCAGTAGTGCTGTTAGGCGCACCACTAAGAGAGGCAGCGCATCTGCTGGCGCGAGAAACGACGACGGGAGTGAAAAGAGCATTCTAGACGGATCTTCGCAGGATAAGAGCATCAGGGGGGGGCAGGTGGTAGAGTTTCAGGACTGGAAGGATATCCAAAACTCTCGGAGTACAGGCTAATCGGGCAGGTGGTAAAGGATGGGGACAAAGGAAAGGAAGGGGACAAAGGAAAGGAAGGGGACAAAGGAAAGGAAGGGGACAAAGGAACGAAAATGATACCAGGTACCGGAGTTTTTAGCGATCGGAATGGAATTTTCATTGAACAGCCCACAATGCACCATATGCTTGTCACGTCCGAGACCCCATGCAGACACCCAATGCCTCACGACCAGATCATCGTTGATGGAATCGATTACCCATACCGACTGGTCCGGCCTATTACACGACGTCCATGATACTAGGGCCAGTTGCGACGCGACTTCGATCCGGGCCCTTGTCCAGCTGCCAGACCTGCGTTGCGAACTCGTTCAATGGCTAGGTCCGTCTTACTCCACGATACTCTGTGGGTGCGCAGGTAGTGGCCGTACAGGACAACCTGCGGGGGCTGCGATGGGCGGTCGGCTAGCTTGCTGATGGTTGGTGGTCCTCCCCGACCGGAGTATGAATGAAACGTCGGAGGATGATGGGATTCTCATGACCATTCGCAGACCCGAGGAACGAATGGGAGTGCAAATGCTGCCTGTGAACCTTTCTGGGTCTCACTGTTCTCGGAGGGCGGTGATTTCACCGCCTGGCATGGCCCTATCGCGGCCGCTGCTCCCTCCGCAGGTAGCCGTCACCAAGGTTACGATGCGGAAGATAATGCCTCCGGGCACGGCGAAGGGGTGGTTGCGGTGGGTGCGGTGGGTGCCGGAGGTTTGGAACCGCAGGATTGTGAGACACTGCGAGAATCGGTTCCATGCACCCGACAACCTTTTTAAGTAGAGGTATCGGCGTATTGAACTACCGAACAGCGACTGGCTGGAACTGGGCCTAAGCTTCCCGCGAAGTGGATCTCTGACCACGAGAAGCGAAAGTAAATGGCCAATCAACCATACATTACATAATGTCGCCCCGATGCATCGGGTTCTTCCCGTCCCGTTTATTGCCCAATCACCCCGGTGCTTCACAGCGCGACGTGCACCTTCCCATTCGGAGTTCTCGCCGGCCGCGCTGCCTTGTGCAGGTTCACAATTTTATGCCCGGGGTGTCGGGACTTGGAAGTTGGGACACCCACCTCGCCTACTGGGGGAGCCTCATTTGCCGATTCATATTGGTGAAGTCGGGGTTAACGCTATTGTAGGGGGGACCCATTCCCCGTTGAGCAGGACGTGTATGTACTGTACCATTGAATTTAGATCCATTTTGCCTTTCTGTTTCATTCTTCCCCCCCAGCAGATTTCCTTCGTGTTGTTCTGCAGGCTTCTGGAATATGTGCTTTCCCCTTCTTATTTGACTGTCCCATGGGCACCTTCTATCCTGAGTAGTCCGCGAAATTCTTGGCTCTCGTCATTTGCAAAAGAGGCGCTCTGCCAGTAGCTGTTGAGTTTGGTTTGAGCTTCGGCACTACCCGCTAGGTCCGCCCGTGGATCCGATTAACAGTGACACCAACCAATTCCTCAGGTAACTAACTATTCAGCGACTCCGCCAGTGCAGCTTACCATCCTGCCTGAGGGCGTGCCAAGGTCAGACCAAGTCGATGTCACGAAGCTAACTGCTACAATGGATAGCAATCGTAGAACCCCGGCGGCGACGAGGTCCCAATGCCAGACCCAACCCCGGCTGCGACATCGGCCGCGCCCGACCCGGATGAAGCCCTCGCGCGGCAGCGGACCATCGAGCAGGCCATAGCAGAGGGCCACGATGCCGATACCCCCTCGGACGTGGGCTATGTCCTCGACGAGGCCGGCGAGCAGAAACGGCTGCAGTCCATCGCCGACCAGCGCCGGAAATCCCTCACCCGCAGACGCAGTCACAGTCAAAGTCGCACAAAAGGAGGGTCGCACGACGTTGAGCGGGACGCTGGCCTGGGTAACAAGGACAAGGAGACTCCCGCTACGGCAGTGGAGGTCCAGAGCGGAGGCAGCGACGGCAAGGACGAGGAGGGCGCCTCGTCGGAGGACGAGGCGAACGTTGTCTGGTGGGACGGCCCCGACGACCCCGAGAACCCCTACAACTGGCCGACGTGGCGCAAGGTGACGAACTGCACCCTCATCAGCGCCATGACCTTCATCACGCCGCTGGGCTCGAGCATCTTCGCCCCCGGCGTCCCGCAGCTGATGGTCGAGTTCGGCTCCCCGAGCCCCGAGCTGGCGGCCTTCGTCGTGTCCGTCTACGTCCTCGGCTTCGCCGCCGGGCCGATGCTGGTTGCGCCGCTGAGCGAGATCTACGGCCGCAACATTGTGTACCACTTCTGCAACGTGTGCTTCATCGGCTTCCTCGTCGGCTCGGCCTTGGCGCCGACGCTGGGCGCCCTGATCGCCTTCCGGTTCCTCTCGGGCGTGTTCGGGAGCTGCCCGCTGACCAACGGGGGCGGCAGCATTGCGGATATGATCAAGCAGGAACGCCGCGGCGCCGCAATGGCCGCGTTTAGCATCGGACCCTTGCTCGGACCCATCATTGGCCCTGTGGCGGGCGGCTTCCTTGCTGACGCAAAAGGCTGGCGATGGGTCTTCTGGGTGCTTGTCATGGTCAGTGGCTTTTTTGCTGTCGTGATGTTTATCTTCGCCAGGGAAACCTTCGCACCCGTTATACTGCAGAAAAAGGTCGACCGTCTGCGCAAGGAGACTGGCAATGACCTTCTGCGGTCCAAGCTAGACGCCGGCCTGTCCCCGACTGACCACCTCAAGCGCGGTATCCTCCGGCCGATCAAGATGCTGATTTACAGCCCCATATGCATCATTTTTGCGCTCTACGTGGCCGTCGTGTACGGCTATTTATACCTCATGTTTACCAGCATCACCGAGGTTTTCATGAAGAATTACGGCTTTTCCGCCAGCAAAGTTGGCCTTGTTTACCTCGGCCTTGGCATCGGCTCGATGATTGGCCTCGTCTTCTTCAGCATCACCAGCGACCGGACACTCAAGAAAATGGCGGCGAGGGACGGCCAAGGTATGAAGCCGGAGTACCGCCTCTGGCCCGTCCCTATCGGCGCGGTCATGCTCCCCATCGGCTTCTTCATCTACGGCTGGACAGTCGAGTACCATACCCACTGGATTGTGCCGATCATTGGCCATGTCCTCATGTGAGCACCACCCTCCTTTCCCAATATTACTACTAGTTTGGGCCGAGACTAACGGCGGGGACACACAGTGGCATTGCTAACCTGCTCATATTCATGGCTATGAACATGGCGCTCGTCGACACTTTCACCATCTACGCCGCATCGGCCCTGGCTGCCAACACGGTCGTGCGATCCATTGCCGGTGCTGTCCTTCCGCTTTGCGGGCTGAAGATGTACGACAAGCTTGGCCTGGGTTGGGGAAACAGCCTTCTGGGCTTCATCGCTGTAGGAATGATCCCCATCGCCTTCTTGATTATCCGGTATGGCGAGTTCTTGCGGACTCGGTTCCCGGTCAAGAACCTGTAGATGAGTTCTGCCACGATCTACGCCTAGGGAGGTCTTAGCACGGTCGCCCCAGGATAATCTATGGGGAGAGGGTCGGAGGACTAAGGAGGGCGGTCCCTTTCTCCATATGGCCATGGTTGTATATGTACAGGCTCATTTGATGCAGGGTGCTAACTGGCAGCTTGTTTCGTCCCCTCTCGAGGGCTCTGTAGATAGGGAGGACTTACATGTATTGTACAGTAAAACGCGAACCTATTGTTGTTGATGTTGCATCTCTTTAACGACTCGGCCGACGAAATATGTACGTGTCAAAGTGTTCTCTGGCTATTCCATTCTCGGGCGATCGATCGGTCTTGGGTGGACTTGGAAGAATCAGGCAAGCCGGACGGACTCCTCTCTTGTACCATAAGGACTGCATCGTGGCAGGAAATCCTCAGACTCCTTCGGCAGCCTTGGCCCGGGTTTTTCTGCTCTATACCGCAGTGTTTCTGGCTTGCGAGACGTCGAAGCAGACACTCTTCCTTTCTCGCGCTGTGCTGTGAAACGGCTCGCGCTGGGTTGGGACTTGGTAGGACCCATGGTTGACGTTGATACCCCACTGCGTTGGTTCGTGCGTCACTGAGACCCACGTGAGATATGGTCCAAGCTTCCGGGGTAATTGGAGGCTCTGCTCGGATTGGATGCTCCCCACTTTCCATGTCACACACATGAGCTCACAACAAACCACGAGAACGATATCTGCGCCCAGATCGTACCTTGCGCATCTCTCAGATACCCACCTGAATACTCTGCCGCATTTCAAACTCGGAAGCTTCTTCCAACATGGTGGTGAGTCGATCTCTCGGCAGCCTCCCGCGTGTCCCGAGCCAAGCCGTTCCTCCTGCATCGTCGAGGTTCTAAAGCCTGCTATCAGTTCCTCAACTTGCTGACTCTCGGATTATGGTCGAAGTTCGGAAGAATAACCCACTACGCATTTGATGCCGTTCTCTGTAAGTCTGTCCTGGAGAATGCCAAGTGACTGGTTTGACTAAAAAACAATCCCTCTCCGCAGTCTCCGCCTTCCTGGCAGGAATGAAACGATCGACCGGCCTAACGTGAGTTCGTCCCACATACTCGCTGCCACCCTGGTTTCCGCGAAGAACATCGAATCGAGGGGGAGCTAACATGGACCCCAACCTGGGGAACCGTCAGGGTCAGTTTTAAGACCGAGAAGATATCTGGCGAGAACAAGGAAGTCGCAGGCTGGGTTAAAAAGTACCTCGATGTGGGGGAATGGGTGATGGATCAGTCTGTTGCGATTGCGGGTTCGAGCGGATGGTTTGAGAGGAACCGGTGAGCCGATGCATTCTGCATGCTCTCGACTCTCCGGACCGAAGAGGACTAGGGCGGCGATATCCTCTTGCCCCAGCGGTAAAAGGAAAACGGACAAGAGTTCTTGCATGGGATGCGCCGGTGGCTGGCTGGATGTCCACTCCTGTTTCGATCGTACTATTTGTTCACATGGTAGGCGTTAGGGGATTCCATCGTTATTGATGAACATCGGATTTATTTTCTCCTCTGGCTATGAGGAACGCAGCTAGGTACTTTATGCATGCTCTCATCTGCTCTTGCAGCATGAGACCCGACCTTCCGAACCATTCCGATGCCACACATGCGATTGTGCCAACCAACCGAGACAAAAGGAAGAAGGAAAAAGGGAAAAAACCTCGTCATGAGGCACAGCACAGCAAGGGAGATCCGCGCTGAAAAATGACGGGCGAATAGTATCGGTCCGTGTTGGAGGAACGCCCATGGGGCACACTCCTGTAGAATACACGCTGTGGGTTGAATCCGTGTGGCCCCGACCAATCCATCTGGACATTGCCGTATCCGAGCTCGAGAGCAACAACACTTGACAGGTCTAGAACGACAGAAAATCACCCGGTTTTGCCAAGATGATGCCGTTCCCGATGGCATCGCACTGGAGATCTTCCATGTAGGGGATTGGGCGGGGCCAAATCCCATTCATTAGTTGTGGGAGCGGCATGGGCTCGAGGGGGACGGATGGCGCGGCATTCTTACCCTCCACACACCTGCGCTGCCAGTCACGGCGCACCAGGATGTTTCGGTAGTCGTACGGGCCATAGAATTTCAAGTCTGGTTTGACATAGTAGCCAAGGTAGGTCTCGAAATGGATTGGGGCCGCTTGGAAGTGGGAGATGAGCCTATCGACGGCCCTCGCAAGCCATCCTTCCTTCAGGATCTGCGGCTGTCCTCTTTGGCGCTTGTGGAATGCCCGGCGGGCCTTGACTGCCTTAAAGACGAAACGGTAGGCAGCCTCAACATCCATGTGGGAAGCTGAGAGGATGGTAGACAGCCCCCTAGCCTGTGCTTGCACCCAGAAATTCATCGGTTGCAAGTCGTAGAGATCATCCGTGGCCTCCCTCAAGGGACCGATGATAAGGCCAGCCAGCATCATATCGAATTGCTGTTTTGACTTGGTGCTGGCGAGACACACTTCTTCGAATGCATCTTGGAATTCGACAGCATCCCAATACATGAAGTCACCACATGGCCAGACGAAGCCAACACGAGGCAGCATCTGGTAGAATTTCTTGTTCTTTGGCCCGGGCCTCTTCCCAACGTTGCGGAACATGTTCTAATGCTGGTCAAACTCAACAGTCAGCGTGTTTCTAACCAAAGGCCTGCTTTCGCTTACCTGATGTATCGAGTCGAAAAGGACGAGCTTCGTAATGAACGGATAGATGAAGGATCGACAGAGCGTAGAAGTGGGGAGGAGATTTTAGATGCGGTGTTCTTGTAAGAGGAGGAGAAAATCCGGAACTGGGACGTAGAAGAGGCAGGGTAAAGTTGGGAAGGCGGCGCAGAAGAGGCGGTGGTAAAGGGTTTGGGGACGCGATGAAGTAGAAGTAGGAGCGGGAAGAAGAGTTGAAAAGACGATGTAGAACGAGGGAGGTAAGAAAATCGGAAAATAGATGCAGAAGTAGACAGTGGTGGAAAATTCACCCCGAAATGTAGAACAATAGAAGTGGGGAGGACGGAAAACTTGAGAATGGCTGGAACCTAGGTATTGTTCTTATTGTCTTATTGTATTGCTCGGTGAGAATAGGCGAAAGGGAGAGGCAGAAAGGGGGAGAGGAGGTTAGTTTTTGTGATGATTGTGAGATGGAAGTCATCCTGCCTCCCCTACCCGAAGGCAGACTGAGAATGATATTCCCCCCTATCCAGCGCCCAACCCTCTAACCCATGGCAGAATGATGCCCTCGGAATCCCTCTGATTCCCCGGGCATATTGTCAAGAGAAGCAGAACACATCCCTCTGTGACATTCAAGGCCCTTCCCATCGGCATCATGACTTGAATGTCCACCTTCTAGGTAGGTCTCTCTCTGCATGGATATTTCTTCGTAGGTTCCAACATACCGTTCCAATGAGCCACTCAATCCAAGCATATACAAGTACGGTTGGTATTCCACATACTTGTCAAACCACTTCAAGGCTCAAGGAAGAGATAACTCCTTCGCACTGCCACCCAGACTTATTATGATCAGGGAAGACACCATCTCGCTCTGCTGGCATCGAGCGAGGACATGGATACTATTTGATCAGCCGGGGAACTTTGGAGGTATGAGAACAAACTTTTGACTGAGGCACCGATATATTTCAGTAAATAGCGGTCAAGCATCAATCAAGTATTGTGTTGAGTGGGCATATCTACAGAGAACAAACATTGTTATTTTCGGGATAACACTTTGACGTTGATGGGAGAAGCTTGGTGGAGAGCAGAGCCTCAGCCCTGCAGGGATAATGGTGGATCCGCCAGCCCGGTTGCCTGCTAGCCAATGGCGTCACAATTCGCAGCACCTCCTGTAGGTCTCATTTATTTGGGAGCACATGCCATCAGCTCGTGAGTCCCCATTCCAGGCATCGCTCTTCCGCCATAGAATAATAAACCTGCGCGGAAAAGGACACATCTTCGCGCCCGGCCGTTGCGATCCACACATCCTCATGGTTTCTGCCGTTTATCAGCTTGCAGTTCTCAACTTCTAACCCTGCGAGCCTGGATCTTTGGATGAAGGGGTGGCATGACGCTCCAACAGGTACTGCAACATATGTTCCCTAGGTTCCCAGCATGTCTTCGACCATTGCGGAAGCTAAAAACCTTGTTGCCGCAGACCTGACGACCAACTAAAGCTACTACCATGGCCTCGAAATCGTCGTTCCTCCCTCGCCTTCCTTTCTCTCGAACAGACGGCCCGGGCCTTCCGTTTCACAACTCACGGAATCTTCCCATCCGTAAGCGTACGAGCGAATACGACCTATCCGATCTTTCGCCCCGTCCCGATGACGACCAGTCTCCTTTGAATCTACCCCTTCCGGGCCGAAAGAGCTCTCCTCGTCCCCAAAGTTCTTCGCCAACCTTACGATACAGTGACAGGGCCGACAGACCTGGGCACGAGTCTAAGATAAACCCAGGACCCCTATTCTCAGGGCCTCCGCCCCCCATAGCAACGTCGACGCTGCTCTACAGGGATGAGGAGGACAGGGGCATGGAGCGGCGGCCCGCTGCCCGCTATGCCGACAACTCATCCTTCGCCCGCAACGCCCTGAGCAGCGTGAGCAGCGTCCTCTTCGATCGAGGCTCACCCTCCCACACCAAAGACAACCACCAAGCCCCCGAGCCGGACACGATCTGGCGCAGCCTCCAACGCCGCGAGATGGCCCTCCAGAACGATCTCCAACACCTCCTCGACGCCCAGTCCACCGGTCTCGCGGCACATCTCGACCCCACAGCCCCCTCCGCCCCAAGCACCCTCTCCTCAGCCAGCACCGCCGACGACAGCGCCAGCAACAGCAGCAGCACACACACAGAGCCCTTCCACGCCAGGGGAGCCGCCGCCACCGCCGCCGCCTACTCTGCGGGTGGCGGCGTGGTGCCCGTGCGGCAGCCCCGGCGGCGGCCGGTGGGCCTGCGCGGGGCGCGCGCGGGCCTGGCGCGGGTCATGGTGCAGCTGGCGGGGCTCAAGGCCGAGGAGGACGCCGGGCTGGCGGCGGCGCTGGGGGCGCGGAGGCGCGCGCTGGCGCAGCTGCGGCGCCTGGCCGGGCGGCGGGACGGCATCGCGGGGGAGCTGCGGGCGCTGGAGCGGGATGACGGGGGTGGTGGCGGGGATCCGCTGGCGCGCGAGCTGCGGGGGCTCGGGGAGGAGAGGAGGGATGTTGTGGCGGAGATGGCGGAGCTGGAGGAGAGGCTTGTGGGCCTGCGGAGTCGGAAGAGGTGGTTGGATGGGAAGATGGAGGACGTGAGGAATAGGAGGGAGGCTGGGCTGAGCGGATACAAGGGCGCGTTGAGGGAGGTCGAGGTCAAGGTTTCGGGTTTGCTGACGAGGCCGCCTGTCAAGCCCCTGGATCTCGCGGCTATAACAAGTGGCTCGAGACGCTTGCAAGGTGGCGGCAGTGTCGATGGTGCGAGTGCCGATGGACAGTCACCTGGCGGTGTTGAGTTCCTGCGCATGCGCCCTGAGCGCAGGACTGTTGAAATGGCGAGGGATTGGTGGGAGAGCGAGATCGAGATATTGGAAAGACGCAAGATCGAGGTGGACGAGGAGCGAAACGCCCTCGAGGAAGGGGCGGAAGTGTGGAAAGAAGCCGTCAAACTGGTCTCGGACTTCGAATCGGGACTCCGCAGGGAGATGAAAGACGAACTGGGTGCCGCGGACAAGGGAAAGCAAAAGGCACCGACTCCAGAGGAAGCAATGCATGCGCAGCTGGACAAAATGGCTGGGGTAATCGTCGGGTTGGCACAGCAACTGCGAACAGCAGAGGAGAAGGGCTGGAATTTGCTCATATGTGCCATTGGAGCAGAGCTGGAAGCATTCAAGGAAGCTGAGCACATGTTACGCGAGGCTCTACGAGCTGCAGGGTTCGATGACGATGACGACGACGGCCCCACGCCCCGGCTAGGAAGATCCGTGAGCCTGAAGACTTCTGCCAAGCGAAGTGGATCCGGCGATGGCAAAAAGCTGGTAGACGTCGCCGAAGACAGGTCGCAGGAGAGCGACAATGAAGTGCCTCCGGACCTCCTAGTTTCGCACGAAGAAGACCATGACGACTCTCTTACGCAAGACCACGAAGTCGGGGAAAGCCCTGAGCAAGAGGACAGCGAGAATGAGGTGCCGCTGGAATTCCTAGCTGAGCACCACGAGGATGAAGAGGATGATGATGATGCTAAACATGAAAGCATGAGCAAAGCAGCATAGCCACAAGTTGGCAGCGTTTATTGTTACCCGAGTTATTACGGATCTTTTATTATTAATACATTAACACTGACTCACCGAACTGATGAGAGCTACTTCGGTTGTAGCCGATAATATCGTTCAGTCCTCCTGCTCCGTGCACTCAATGCTATGGTGTCTCCCTAATGAGACCTGGGTCCCTCAGCCTCCCCTTCGGGCCTACACTAGCAACCCAGCCCGTGATGTCCCCTTTCCCCTTTCCTGAAATATTTGAAGAACGTTGTAAATACCGGGGTCAACTCGTCGACTAATTGGATTCCAATTCGGGGGGCAGTTCGGGACAAAAGAGGGAAGCAAGTTTCTTGGAGGCAATCCTCCCCCGAGGCGTATCGTTGCCTCTATGCAAAGATATGCAGCTATTGCTCTACCCTAGGCCCTCCCTTGCGACCCAATATAGGCCTTAGTTTCCCTTGTTTAGTGATTACAACGATGAGCTGAAGGTTCCCGTCACGTTCTCGACCGATCACTCTCGAGTTGGGACATGGCCCTTAAAAGAACGCTTCGCCTTCGGCGGCATCGACCCCTTCCCGGATCACTCGCTTGACAGCTGACTCGGAATCCTCATCTCCATCTAGTAGGTCCAACCAACCGCTCTTGACGCCGCCGCTCTCCAGCAGCAAAGCCGCCACCTGGGCCACGGACTCGCGGCTCACTACACCCTTTGATTTTTTCGTCTTCCCCAGCTCCACCTTCCCGGCCGGCTCGTCGGTCAGAGTCCCGGGCCGCAGGTCGATGCCGGCAAAGTCGGGTCGCTTCTTCGAGGCCTTATACAGCTCCTCGTCTGCGGCCACCTTGGCTTGGAAATACGACGCCAAAACGTTATTGTTGACGTGCAACGCTTCCTTCCAGGACTCGTCGGACCACCACGACGGCTTGGTCCGTCGCGAGGAGTTGTACGAGACCAGCAGGAACCTTGTGATGGAGGGCGTTGCCACGGCCGCGTTGATGAAATGGATTGCCGCATCGCGATCTATGGCGAAAGTCTAGAGCCACAGTTAGCTCAGCTCAGCTCAGTTCAGTTCAGGTCAAGCCGTTTGCAGCGTGATGATCATCGCGTATGTCTGCGGGACTCGATCGTATTACCCTTTCAGAACCACCTTTTCCGCCCGCACCCGCACTCCAGACTACGTAATCGGGCTTGACCTCGTCGAGGAGAGACTTGGCCTGTCCCTCGCTCTTGACATCCTCCAGGCTGCGGACCAGAACGTCGAGCTTGCCCCTCTGGTTCTCGCCGAGCCTCTTGACCGCAGGTACCTGGTCCGGGTTGCGGATGATGCTGGTCACCGTCCAGGATCGCTGCAGGAGGAGAGGTGTGAGGTGCTGGGCAATCTTGCCGTGGCCTCCCAGGAGCAAGACGTGGTGGCTGCTCATATTTGTCGATTTGGTCGGGTTGCGATGTGTAGAAGGGTTAGAAGGTTGGAGGTTTAGGAAGAGAGCTGCCTTTATTTCTCCGATGTTGTAGAGAAGCAGTGATGATGAATTATTAATGCCCTTTCTGATGATTTATCAAGGGTCACATCATCAGAATAGAAGGAAACGTCTTACGAGCAATGACGTAAGTCTGAGGTCCTGTGTCTTGGCTATTACACAACACATTCTTTTCATAATTCTTCAAGTTCGTACCCGTTTACAACTCGGTTCCATGCACATATTCAAGTCTATAGGGGAAGTTTGCTCAAAATTCATTTTCATCTGTTCATTTTGAAATGGCGCTCTAAGGGGACCGTTTCCAATCTCATAGGACTTACAACCCCCAACCCCCCCTCAATTTTAGATGCACACTCTAGACACGGATTCAGGAGGATTATGATACCTTTTTGGGTTCTCCTTGGGTGTTTTGCACTGATATCTATTTATTCGCATGAATGGCATTATTGCCTTGAGGAGCTGGACAAGCGGCGAAATGTGTTAATTATTCCACCGAGTTTTCATTATATTCTTCTTCTCT